CGGTGCTTTTATAAAAGGAATTATTTTAATTTTTAGCGTGATCGAAGAAAAGAAGCCCAAAGTATCCATGACTACTAACATACTCGTAAGTCTCAATAGTAGGTAAGGCCCTAATACAACCAACAGGGTTCACTTCAATTTCGAATCCACTTGGAACGCAATTCGTTATGGTACTCCCCCCCCTATACCAAACCGTTCGTATATTATTTTTTCCATCACCCCACCCTTGTCGAATCGAAGCGGAAATTAATACGATATCCAAAATTGCAGCAGTCCCTACCCCTCGTGCTTGTACCCAGGGTTCTTCAACCGCGTCAACCACGTGTCCCGAAAATAGTCCTATATCCGATATAAATAATTGAAATAAAAAATAAAAATAAATTTAATGCCAAACAAAAATTGTCCGATATAAAGAATGTCCGTATAATTGTAAAAAAACTCGAAAAAATCCACATCGACTGAATTGGCTTAATTGGTTTGAAAAACTGTTCAATTTCGAAATTCAAACCACATACCAATCTATGTCGAAAGTGAATCTAACGCGTCAGTAGTCCATATCAATGGAAACAGTGTGCGAAACAATGGCTAAGACAAAGGATTGGCCCGTTCACGTGGCTGCGCATACGCATGGCGGATGCGGCCATGCTGTATCAGCGTCCCCCTAGGAACTTTCGTGTGACCACACATGAGCAGAAAGGCAGGAGGATCCACGAAACGCCCGCGCACGTGGCAGATGTTCCTGTTCCACATCCACGCAGGCGTTCGATATACCCCATTTGAAAAAAAAAGTTCACCGTTCCCAAGGACCATCGACGAAATCGAAGACCTGAAAATTTGTTATTTCTACACATGTTCGATACGTTGCGATACGGCAACTCGGGAGCTCAGAAATTTCATCCGTACAAAGTCAAAGTCATAAGAGCTCAACGCGATTCAGTGAAATGGGTCACAGAAGCGCTTACGCCTACGCGAACTGCAAAACTCCGTGGCAATTGTGATTTCCTGCGGTTTCCTCGGCGACGCTCCGTAAATCCACGTCCTTCGCACGTCCCGGCAGGAAGTCAAAGAAAATCCAAGAGTTGTCGTCGTTCTAGCGTAACTCCCAGGATACAAGGACTATTACGGTGGAAGTATGTTTGGAGCCTTGAAGTTTCTCGATATATCCAAAGACTTTTGGTTAATGCACGTTGATGCCTCTGATGAGTGTTTAATGCCAGGAGCAGATGGAAATATTAATTGGTTCCCTTTGAGCCTCCTATATGTATATAGGACGATGATGGTACGGCGTCTATTTTTCATTCCTTTTTTTTTCCTCAAAGGTTCTTTCCGGTTCGTTCTCTTGGCTTTCGGGCTATTCTCGATTAGTTCTCCAAGCTGAAGATAATATCTGGAGTCTATCGCTGAAGGCGGAGTCTATGAAACTGAACGCCCATTACGATCCTCATATGTATTATGTACGCTGATTTCTTATATTCTTAACTAAGGCTTTTACATAGGAGCAAGAAAGTTTTCCTTTGGAATTTATTATATCGATGGCTACGCCACTGTCCTTTCTCATTTAATATTTTATTAGCTATATATATATACTTTTATATATATATATATACTTTTACATTGGCTCTTTGTGCGAATTCACACTGGGTGGAACACGTCTATTTTTGGAATCGATGCTTACTCTGGTTACCAATGATTTTTCAATTAAAAATTCGGTCGATTGCTTACCATAGATATCGAATATTTTACGATCGATCAGGGATCTCGTCATCGATGACTAATACAGATTTATGGTATCGATCAAACGGTTTGTGAGAAGTTAAATGACGTAAGTCAAAAATCAAGGAAGAATTACGTGAGAATTTTTCATATGCCGTTTGGACTTTATACATCATTAATTCCCGCATTCACTTTCTCACGATAAATAGGAAACATCTAATTCTCAAGAAATTTTAATCGCTCACATGCCATTAAATTACATTGCTTTATACACGAAACCTGGTGACTTTATACGAAATTAAGTAACACTCATAGTGGTTAGTTCAATTTTACTCGTGTAAGTCAGACCTCACTTTACGTACGGGAATAAATTAAATTCTGCTCCGATTGGCGAAACTGCAGCGCCGCGGGAGGTGTCCGAAATCAAATTTGATCCCGCAGGATGGGCAGTAAGTATTTGCAAAGTCTGATTTAACTCAGGATTATCCTTTTCAGTATGGAAAAAAAGCAACGTGGGAATGAGTCAGTAATATTCGGTGAATGGAAATGTTAAGGTGAATTCTATAGGCAGGGTGAAAAATTTCAAATCAAAAAATCACTTTCGAATTTCATCACGATTTTCTAGGCTCAAAAACCGTACTTACAGCCAGATACAATTTAAGCTCGTGTGACACTTGCTTGGTAACACTGACTATTAAAACTGCCGTCTGACTGTGTCAAAAAGGTCTGGTAGCATTGTTCATGGACTTTCGTAAAATCTAAAAAAAAAAAAAAGAAGATCCCGGACAGTTCAAAGACTTTACATTCGTAGTGGGAAACCTAACCCGAAAGGCGAACTCAGTCGCAGCACTTGTAGGCACACCCAAAAGCACCGTGAGACAATGTTATGTTAATTTATTCGTGGATATAAACTTTTTACAAGATCCATGATGTAATCCATCATGCTCTATCAAATTGGTACAAGAGCCTAGTGGTGGTGCTGACATTTTTTTTTCGTATTACCTCATAAAAGCGACTCTTGATTTAACACAGCCCCGAAGAGTACGATGAAAAAAATAATTAAAATATTAATATTCAAATTCAACAACTTTCATATATCCACATAAGACACGTATATATACACCCTATGAAAAATTGGTACCGTGATTCTTTATTTTTCTCTCGGCAATGATAACCACGTATATACAGATCTAGATACACGTACTGCAAGGTAATTTTATCCCTAGACAAAAAGTAACTAGTATCGCAGCGTTCATCCAGTTCTTCGTGCCCCTTTAATTCGCTCATGGCAAAAAGTCAATAGCGACAAAGAACGAGCATCGCGGAATGAAAATAAGCCAAGAAATCGAACGGACAATTATGGCCTATCAAGGTACCTCCTTTCGGACAAGTCTATTGATCCATTAATCAACCGCCATATTGAATAGGTCCGTTCGATCAGCTGAGAGATAACCGCGTAATGAGTCCTGCTCTAGCACGGCCGCAGCCTTACAAAACGTATTTATTATTACGCACAGCATAGCGTAATGCAAGTACCAGGAGACAACAAGATCGCCCTGTGGATCATTGAGATCCTATCAGCTATCTGTCGCAACCTGCGACTGGCGTGGTCTACTGTCTCATGGAAACTGGACCAGTCGACCGGACAATCTGAATGCGATTGCAATTGGATCATTTTTCTTTATTTCTTTTTCTTTCTTGATCCCTAACAAACCGACCGGATCACGGATCACCCTGATGTATCATTCTGTTCCAATAGTAACCAGTCCGAGTGATCTAATCCAAGATCTGTTTTAATCATAGATCATAACTGACACGCGTTAAGCAGTCTCACCCCGTATAATAATAATAAAAAATTACTCATAGATCCATATGCACTGCAACGTCAACTGACCCCCCCCCCTAGCTCTCGTGCCCACGCACCGTGGGAGGGGCTAATTAAAAAGTTAATCAAGCAGCAAATAGAGATAAAAGCTTGGGCTTCATTTAGCTTCACGCAGGTACGATAGTCGTTAGATAGACATCGCCTTTCACGCACGCAAATCGATACGCGCCCGTGTTAAAAGTAATTAAAGAGAAATTTATGAAAAAAAAAAAAAATAATAATAGACTTTCTTTTATTTATTCCCAGCTTTTATATGCATATACGTATTCAGATATGCACTTACGTGTGCCTAACGAACCTCGTGTTTAAAGGGTGTAATATACAGGTAGTACTGTATTTTTGATTTCCTTAAGGAAAAAAAAAAAAGGTCGGAAAGGTGCGAGGGACGTACCTAGGTACCTATGTACGCAAGAGGGTTTCTACGGCGTGACGGGTCCCTCGTCTGGCACCAAAGTAATTAAATGCAGTGGGGAACGAAGCACGAAGGGCAGGGCACCTCGGCAAAGTGCTGCCCAGGAGAAGGGGCCGAGGGCGTTCCTGGAGCCACTCCCCGGCTCGGATCCTCCGGAACTCCAAGCCTGCCTGAAAAGGTTCTACATCCCTAGCCAGACTAGCCCATACATGTATACACTATACCTCGAGCGAACATTTCAATTTTTTGTATCATACGGTAAAAGACAAAATTTTTCAATTTTCACTTTTCGTCATTACACCCAAAAACTCTATTAAACACGTTGCTGAAAAAAAAAAATTCAAAAATTTTGCAAATACAAAATTTTCAAGTGTACACTCCAAACCTAACCCACGATTTGATTCGCTGCCTAGTAGTCACGTTATTTTGAGGATTTAAATAATTTTATTTTAACACTCATCCAACAACGACCTATTTCTCAAGTTCACAGTCGCAGTCTTCGTGAAAGCTTACGATATGCGTATATTGAAACAGCGTATTCGCCCGTGTATATGGTAATTTGTTCGCGAAAGGTGTGGCCAGGTGCAGAGAACGCAGCGGCGTCCCTCGTCGAGGATGTTCGGGGTTTGTCCTTACAAATTGCTGCTTTAATTCGACACGCTTCGTACATAATGAGACGATGGTCGAACGGACAGCTGCAGGTTGCTGGCAACGTATCGTGTTAAGGAGCAGCCCCGTGTAGGTGGGGTACGTCGAAACTTACCGGTTTGCCAGAGCGCATCCGTGCCGGACACATTGGTACGACTTTTAATTAGACTCCGTGTACAATCATATAGCGATTTACATAACCTATATTACATATAATATTTTTAAGATCACTGGAATAGAATAGTAAGTCAATATATATATACACACACACACATATATATATATATATATATATATATACACACCCACATATAAAATCTCTCAAGATACTGATTCTCTTACCGGTTTCCAGGTCGATGGTATAGGGTAAGCCTGCCCATGGATCTTCCTCTGGTACCTCATCATCCTTAGCCTCATCCTGAAAACGACATCCTTTAAGAGAAGGGTTAGAAGGTACGACGTGAGGTGGAAGGATCATCAGGGATTCACAGGAAGACAATCCCAAGGGATGACAGGACGTCCTCAGGGCTTCAGCCATTCTTTAACCAGGACGATCCAAGTCTGCAATAATTCCTAGATCCGATCCCACCACGTGCATGGTAAGTCGACTTCCTTGGACACGTGATTACGCTTATTGTTAGGCCACACGTATGCTCGAATATTGTCATTGTTCGTCCAGCGCCGAGATGACAATACCACCCCGAACGAACGGTAGACAGTGTCGACGCTGGTCCAGGAGGACAGTCATCGGCAATCTCGATTGTTTGAGCCAATTAAAAGAAACCCTCAAGACTCGTGGTCATTCAATATGACGGATACTTATGGTTACAATGCTGGTAACTAGGACGGAACAGGACGAGGGAGAAAATGCTTGAGATTAGGGTGAAAGGAAAGTGTTGACGTAACGACTCTATTGTAGGGTTGGTATGTCTGGACCTTGATTCTTGAATCTATGTAAATGAGCTGTATGCTGTACTATATATATATATATATATTCCTCTATGAAAATAGGATGCTATCATAGGGACGTAGGGGAGAGATTATCATGGTTACGGATTTTATATTATAATAATAATGATACTTTGCACCGAAAGACAATACGAAACCTGGTTGACAGATTCTGCAGCAGCTTGATCCGATCCCGGAGTTATCGAGCATTGTTCATACTTATATGGAGGAAGCGAAGTTATCTCCTACAGAAGGTGTGTGAGGTTACTGAGAGAGAAGCTACAAGCTGGAGAACTGAACCTGACAAAGAGTTCAACCAAGACTGAAAGTTACAATGGCGAAATCAATTGAACGCTATTGACATCGAGGCGTCATAGAGACGTCATAATCAAGGGACCCTTCGTCCATATCCGAAAGGACGTAGCGGAGCCATGGCGGACGTTCAGCCAGAGTCTGGCTTGTATATGGCGGCCGTACACGCTACACTGAAATAAGTTTAATGAAAACAGCATTGTACTCGAACCATTAATCATAGCCAGGTTCTGATAGTGGCCATCCAACCACTACGTTCCTCATAACTCTCTCTCTCTCTCTCTCTCTCTCTTTCGTTCGACTTGAACCTATATGTTCTCTCTTTATCTGCCTGTCCCCTCTACTCTTTACTCTCCGTGATGTATTGTTGTTGCGTGGTGCGCTCTTCGACCTCGTGGGGGTTATGAATATGAAACTCAAACCACCCTCCATCAAACGAAAAGTACCACATGCCAGGAAGGTTGGTACACGTGCGTACGAGAAATATTCGCCATGCGAGGATTACGCGGCTTCGCGGGACAGCGGGGGATTGGCGAGATCGAGGACATTGTAATTTGCGTAGGGGGTTCGTGAGTGAGAAATGGAATTAAAAAAATGACAAAAAAAAAAGAGGGACGAAGGAGATGGAACAATCCGGATAAAAGTAATTATCGAACGTAGGACGAGGAGAGTATAGGCGTCCTATGTGGAGTGAAGTTGGCGTTCACTCTTGCGAGGTGAAAATCTCGAAGGATTCTCGATTAAGTTTATAGTCCTTTCGTGCCTGGCTGACCGTGGGGATTTTTTTCTTTGTCTTGCATTTTTCTTTTTTCTTTTTTTTTTTTTCTTTACGTTGTCCTCCATGCAACAATGGGGGCCCTGTCATCGGCACGGACCTGCATTGCTGGCATAGCTCTCAATTAAGGTTTTGGGCTGTCACGACTTCAGGTCTCGATCGGCTGCAGCAACGGCACTGCTGGCCAACATCACCAACATCGTGAACATCGTCAGGCAGCGGTACTCGAAAGGGACTTTAACCCACCTCAACCTTCTCTCTACCCTGTATAAATATGAAATCAATGCCCCACCGTGAGCAGAACGTGTTCCTCTTCTCTCCTTCGTTCCCCTTTTTTCTTCATCCATACCATTCCCTCGCTCACTAAGCATGGAAAATGGTGCCAGTCACGGTTCCGTGAATCACCACTGGCTTCTTTGGCTCTATTCCACGATCATTCGTCATTATACGAGTACCGACGAACGCAACCTTTACCAACGTATCCGCGAGTCTTTCATCCATGTAAATTCTGGCAGGAAGTGGCAGAGCGCCTGTTCGCCATCGTACCGTAAGATGAGTTACCGAAGTGGCAAGTGCTTTTGGGGTGGCTCGAGGAGCGTAAATAAATTTGCTCGGAGTTCGCGAAATCGAGGGTTGAAATTATTTGGCAGACGGGGAATAGGAATGTAAGGGGATTTTAGGGGTGGCGGAGACGTCCAGGCGGAAATCCAAGCCGAAGGGATACGCATTATGCAAGCGCCATTTTGCTCTCAAAATCTTCCGTCGGGGAGGAAACAATGAGGCAAAAAGGAGAAGCCGCCACCGCCCACTTCAGTTCGTCGGGCGCGTTTTCAATTTCCACAACCATTAATACAACCCACCCCCCTCCCACCGCCCCCTCCGGCTACTACCCTTCCTACTCGACACGATTTCTCCCCACCATTTTGCTCCAATCTCCCTTCGACCGTTCCTCCCTCTTTCGAACTGGTCCATCCCGGGGGCTTCCTGCTCCGCGAGGGATGCTGTACATCTATCATCTTTCACCCGGATTGCCAATCCCTACATTTCATCCCCTTACGACGATGCATCCCGGTCCAAATGAACGCGGCCCATTTTCGATGGTTTTATGAATACATTTTATAGCGCTCGGGTGCCTTGTTTTTTTTCGATCAATCCATCCACTCCTCTCTGTTCCGGATACACTTTACAGACCGACAATCCTTCATCAAGCTGAACGATATTTCGAGTCTCTAGGAGACGTTCTAATGGAGTCTGTCGTGGCTACGGACCAACATCATTTAGCACTGTCTGATGTCAATTGAAAATTTCACATTTTGGATCTCTGAACTCTCTATCCAGCTATTAATTATTTGGCAATCTAGCCCTGGTACGGTTTCGATAGTTTCAAGGATGGGTGGATCAAAATTAGCAGGGATGAATTTTGAAATTTTTCATCAATTTCATATACAGAATATTTCACTACAATTACTAAGTATATGTCAACTGCTGATTATACTTTGATATACGTATGAGTCAGAACTGGTCCAACCCTCTTCATCCCCTATTGGTCATTTCTAAATCTTTGTTCCCTCTGATTCAATCAGTGCACCAATAGCGTATGTCGAAATGGACCATTTCGATATTTTCAGCATAGTTAATTTCATCGACATATTATTTGGGATTTTTCGAATTGGATCAAGCATTATTCAGAGCATCTTGCAAATAAAACGAAGTGTCACTATACTGCACCATCACGATTCTAAATAGTAATCAGAGCCGAATTGGGAAAACACGTAAAAATAAGTGCAGTCGACTGAATCAAAATGGAGGTGGGTTCCGCGCGGCAGAATTTCCCCGGATGCGTTCAGCCAACCTAAAGGCAAAACAGCAGCGAGCAAATTTACGCAGACCGCTATTCGAGATCTTCATTATAAATTGGCCGAGAAAAATGTGAGGAGTATTTTTGAAAATTTTTAAAAATAATTTCAAATCCTCTTTCCATCCATTTTTTTTTGTTCTTTTTTACCGATAAAACAATTCCATACTTTTATAACAATGGCTGTCATTCTCATAAGAAAGAAGTATCCACTTCAGATCTCACGCGTCTTCTAAAATATTTTCTATTTCTTTTTATCTCCTCTCGAGGCATTCGCGATCCCCATTTCGGATCTATCTATCAGCTTTCGTTCTGGACCAAGGGTGTTCCCGGTATTACCGAACGTTCGATGGCGGCGTCTTGGCCATCACAAAGGTAGAACTCGATGGAACAATGCGGGAGGAGGTTCCAAGAGCGAAGAGAAGCAGAGCCAGCGAAATGGAATAACGTGTAAGAAAGAGACAAGAGAACGGAATAGAAAAGAGGAGAGAAGAAACAAGGGAGAGAATCAGAGGAGTCTGATGCCCGACCCGCCCAGAACGTCCGTGCAACGTCATCCTTAGGGACCATCCTGCGTGTGCACCCTTCGACCTATAGCACGATCCCAACTCCCGTACAAATTCAAATGCGAAAATTCAGGCTCCCTGAATCATCAAAGACGCTTCTGAATTTTTATCCTCATCACGTCGATGAGCTCGAGATCATCCAAACAGCGTTAACTCTCGACACGAGGCCAGCCTATTGGCTCGTGGAATAACTGCGGGTACAGCATTGTGAGGATCAGAAACAAGATTCCAGATCGGTACAGGAAGATCAACTAAAGATTTTATCTCAGCTAGCGACCTAGTGCAACCTGGTCAGGCTCGTGCCTAATCTTCTTGATACCCTGTGTACGGCTCCCAAGGATTTTACCGGATCAATGTCTTGGCCTCAGTGTCTTGGGGGATCCTGATCATCGATAGAACATGTTCCGATTGTCAGTGACAATGCTGCGCCATGTGTGTCGCACGTAGATAAACTTTGAAGAATGTCAATACCCTTAGATACGTTATATACAATTTATGGAAAATATTCGGGATGATCTCTTTGGATTGTTACGTGTCCAGAAGGAAGGATCGTCCACCTCTTTATATACATACGGAATGTCGGATCGTGAGATCCTGAAGAGATAACCACCCCGAGGGCCAAATTCCACGTTACCCAATCGGGTAACGTTACCTTTATTTGATAGCCTGACTGTATGATATTGATCTATCACGGACACGGATCATTTATCCTCTGGATGCCTCGCGTGGATCTTTGTATATCGATAAATAAAGATCTTGCCACTTTTCACAATAACTATTTATACGGTTTAAATATTCGATTAAGGAGTTAATAGAAAAAAAATGTCTAATGGAAAATTTATAAGCGGCTACCATTCGAGTTTACGGTCATGAACAAGTATTTATATTTTTTTTTTATTGTCACGTGAAATTCAAAAATTCAATAACCGATTGCTAGAAAGTAGCAACAACCTACTGAGAATATAGCTAGACAGCTAATCGGCATGTGGTTAATTGCAGTAACAGTATCTACAACTTCTGCGTATCTTGCACATGGCGCATGCGTATACTTATCTGACAGGAATCTCTATTTCATATATGTATATACTTCACCTTATCCCCATCCTTTTTCGAAGCTGCTTGAAGGGCCTTGAGCTTTTCTATATTATCATCTTCTGGCTCCTCTGCGATTTCCCCGGCATCCTTCTCGTTCGGGGCAGCAGGCTGAGCCAAAGTAAATCCAAGATCCACATCCTGCTTCCATAGTACCTCGATCAAATCCATATCCTGTGAAAAATAATTTTTTTTCTTTAGAGAGATAAAAATTCAAATTAAATCTATCGGACATTCGTGACAGGTATTGGATCCTTATCTATTTGAGTAGTGGAATATACCAGAATGAGTACTTCTATTATTGGATATGGTAACGAGTTCAATTAACCGTTATGCGAATAGTCATTAATTATCGTTAAGTTATCAATACGTAAAGTATATAATATCGGTAGGTAATGCGAAGATAATTAATCTCATAGTAAGAGCGTCGATAACGAGTTATTGAAATAGAAGGAAATTTTTTTTCGAAATTTCCAAAAGAATCATTAGACAATTTTCATAAAAATTTTTTTAAAGATTTTAAAATGATCCCCACCACTCGCTACAGGAGGTACCCTGCGACGTCTCCAGCGGCTGCACTTTACAGTTGGATAGCCTGTTTTAATTACAGGCCAAAGTTAATTCGAGTGCCAATTAGTACACGAGTACGGGCCAAGACGATCGACAGGAAGTGTCTCTGGTCATCCGTGCGTTTCCGCTATCTTAAAGAAATTGTCCTGCGACACGCTTTCAGCTTTTTCGTAGTCTAATTTGCACAGTGGCCTGCGACTGATTGCCGTGATCGACTCGGTCATTTGAAATACAAACAAGCGATTCTTAAGATTACGACGAAAAGAAAAAAACATGAAAAAGACAAAGTAATATCTACCGATAGAACTTCTAACGACTTCTCGGCTGATGATCGCGGACTTTCATTTTCATGACTTTACGAACATCTTTGAATTTGCATTCTCATCAAGACAGACGTTCTACTTGACACAGGATATTCATTCGATTACCAGTATCGTACAGACGACCTGCAGTTGTCATCTAAATGGTACTGGTACTGTCGAAAATAGCGTTGAGCGATGATAGCGCACGCATGTTGACGGTTTTCAATAAGACAGTACAGATATATATTGTTCACGTATAAAAGTGCATGCAAAGGACCCAGAGTTATATGGATCTTGAAATAGATGCTGGTAATGAAAATATAAGAAAAGAAGAGAAATAAAAAAATAAGTAAAAGGGATAAAATTATCCACAGAAAGAGCCAATCCCGTGACAGAGCACAACCGATGGGCAGCTGGCTCGTGCGGCATGTCGGTGCTTTTAATTCATCCAATTTGTTCTGTTCGTTCCCAGCCTCGTTAACCAATCTACGAATTTTCCTCGCCAATCTAATAGCAGGAACGTCTTTGTGAAAGTATAGCAGTAACTACGCCCAGTTTTTAATCGTGATGTCAAACCGAGTATGGACGAGCGATGTAAATACAATTGTAATAGAATCCAGGTTTACACAAGGGATACAATGGGTGATCGATATAATGATTTTTCATGGGAACAATTTAGTGCGGGTGTGACTCTACCTAATTCTATCTAAAACCACGTCCGAAATGTCTAACGGAGCAGTGTAAAGTACGCACTCGTAGAACGAGCAGATAATTGAATGAGGAAGTGATTAAAATGGCTCATTCTAACCACGTGGACAGGCGTAACGACTCGATCTACCTACTTAAGATATCCAACGGTGTCTTCGTTGTTCGGCGGAACTACATTTTTCTTTTTTTTTTTTCTAACTCGAGGTTTTCAAAAAAATCTTTCGATTTCACTCGCTCGATCGAACATTGACGATCGACGGCTAACACAGGCTGATCCGGAGATACGTCTCGCGTCGCTGACATTGTCGCGGAGCGTCTCCGGAAATTACGGAACCGCGTCCGAGATTTCTGACTAAACGTTTTTACAGGACTAAACAGACTAGTAAAGAAATTCCGGATAAAAAGGAAAAGATGAAAAACATCGATTGATAAATGTCGATAACAGTTAAGTTTTCGTAATATTTATGAAAATTTTACACAGCTCCGGTACGGAGTTCGTAAAGATTAAAAAAAAATTTTTTGACAGAAAAAAGAGAATCGTGAAAATTTTTATTATACAAATGACAACTGTAACAAAAAGAGTTGCTCAAGTATTTTGAAATACATATATATGTACATATTACTAGAGGTATTTTGACTCGTGTCATTTGGTCCAATTCTCATTGTAAAATTCTTTTGTCAATTTATCCATCTGGAAGCATTCCGTCAAATAATAAGACCGATTATCGGTTCTTATAAAACATCCACGAAGCGATGTCGCGATTGCATTCATTGCTTGATTACACCTGGGTGTGGCGAAAGCAATCATTACCAGACTTTCATCGGTTATTGTTTCCAGTATCGGTAAGTACGATCGAGCAGTCTTGAGATTCATGAAATGAACCATAAACCATAAGCGTCACATAGAATACCAACAATAAAGGATTTTCGATCGTTATACCCTGGAATCAGTAAGGACAGTCAAATTATTGATAAATAGACCAATGGACGAGAATTGCATAAGTCCCTCCTCCCTCTCTGGCACATATAAACCCAATACCCAAATATAACGCATATACGGGGAGTATCTAACGTGTAATTTAATATGTCGATTTTATGTGGGTGTGCTAGTACCACGATGTCGGCCATGTTGGAGTCTTCACAGCGGGATACCCGCCGCGCCCACACTACTCTGCTGCCCTGCTGCTCTTTCGGCCATTTGGTTAGCCCACGTTACTATATTTCATATATGAAGTATGGCAAGAGTCATATATATATATTAAACGCGAAATATAGGTGTTTCTAAAAAACAGCAATCTCATCTAAGATATTAAGTGTGAAGGCGGTTAATTGAAAAGTCTCATGAAAATGCTTGGATATCGGTGCTACATTGAGTTCACGCGATCGAGGGGCCAACTTCTTACGACTAACGATATAAAAGAGTCACCTGAATCTGGACGCTGCGACTGAACTACACCTATATACTTAGTACACGACATAGACACGTATCTTAAAACGGATCACTTTATTTGGAAATCGTGGTGAACTGCTGGAGAGGCCAGGCTGATCACAAAGGAGTCACGTATCTGCGGATCAGCAATTACGCACAGTTCATAATGGCCGATGAGTTTATCTGGCATCTTGGTGTCTCCGTGTCAAGTCCTGATATCGCTGAACGCGTACAACGTGTCCGAAGATAAAAGTTACCAGAAGTATATATGAATTGGGTTATAACGAGAATCCATGGCTGCCGAACAAATCGGTTTCTTTAGGTCCAAGAAACCTAGCGTTGACTCCAGGAAGACGTGAACCGGGATATACCGGGTATGAGTACCGTACTGATCAAAAGCCATGAATATTCACGTAGCACGCTAAAGAGAGATCGCAGTACGGCTAGGACGATAAAGAAGTGAATGAGAAGCGACAGAGAGAAAAAGTAGAAATTTCTAGTTGTACACGAAACGTGAGCACTGTCACTGGAAAATTCGTGCCGCATTGACAGATGTCTGTGCATAAGAATCTACATGTACCGTTTTAATCGGGACGTTCTTTACTGGCAAAACATTAGCAGCGCGACCAATAGAATTCGTTCCTCATGCCCACTGCACCTGTTTCAATTTGCATTTTTCTTCTTCAATCTTCCACGATCCAACCCATCATTCCGTAACGTTCAGAAGTGCCTTGTCTCGATTCGAATGACAAAGTCCAGACAACAATCAATTACGTTCACCAAATTTTTTGTGCGTATATTATATCACAGTATTCCTTGAAAAATCCAGTAACGGATCCTCAGTCGCTCTTGTATTTCTATTAGAAAAATTTGAATGAGCATCAGCCCGTATCTGTGTAGAGACTCCGGTGGTGATTGTCGTAGATGAGTTTTGTTAGCCAGGACGATCGGTTAGGCTTCACGAGGAAATCGTACGTACTCCTTCTGGATGGACGTCTAATTCGACCCGGTCGACTTCAACCTGGACGACTTCAGGATGACGCAACGGTTCCCTACTAACTGGCCGTGGCGGACTGTTTACATCATGGATCATTCAGCGTGCGTGCACTCAATGGATTCAGTACGGGCTTTTTGCCGACGGTTACGACCTGCGAGGACCGTGGCTCCGACGTTGCCTTGCGCCTCCACTCGTCAGCGGATGACACTTTTCGTATTTTACTTGGCGCCCCTATTGACGGGTCAAGTGCGCGAGCTTCGTCTTGACGTGCTGATAAAAGGTCTCTGTTCTAACGAGCTTGTACAATATAAGGTATAGGTAGAAGATGAAGAAGACAAAGAGTGAATAAAGGTGCATTAGCCACAGTGATGTGTATATATATATTTACAGGAACAATGACTTGGAATAAACGTTCATGAAGAAATTCATAATAAATATTCATAATTTTGTGCTGCTCCTAAGAGCACAGCGGGAACTCGTGGACTTGGCTTAACGATACGTTTCGAGCCGTTTCTAGTAAGATAGAAAATAATTTGTTCCATTGACAATTCCCCTTGGCCAAGCGCTCCGGGCGGCCTCCTATAGATTACGTGTAAGTTTAATAATTGTATCTGAAAGATATTTAGTATTATCGGTCGCTATTTCGTGAAAGTGTCCTCGTACGGTGCTCGAATGGCAGGAAAGAAAATGGACTCGTGGCTGTGAACTAGGTCGACATCGATCCGACTACCGAAGCAATATCAAAGAACTGGAGGGTCTAGGCATTCATCATCGCGTTACGTAAACTCTTTCTCTGCGATCGCGCGGGTGTCCGATATGTTCAGCAGGAAGTGGTACTGCTGCTCGTTTTACCATGAAGCCTCGTACACGCGTCTATGAACAGCGGAAGAATGATTTCAGTAGTGCAGTAGGTACTTTCGGTTAAGATCTTATTAAGGTAGTTAAGAGGCGTCCACCAGTGCTACATTATAGTGGCGCGAGCTCGAATTCAACGAGCGACGCGACGTTTGCTCGTTTTAGGAACGCAGAAACAGAAACGTCTTAGCGGACTCTGTCTACTTTTGGGCATCGTGAGCTAATTTTTTTTTTTCATCAAAACTATTTCTCCATGTCTGTTTCGAAAATTGATTTTTTTTGCCTCTTATATAATCTTTCGAATTCAATATTT